TCTCTCTTTCTCATATTATACAAATTCAAATTGTATATAATCGTTCTATACACTTATAATAATACAATTCGTTTTATACACTTCGTTTTTATACAGTTCTCTGCCCAAGTGTCTTTCTCTTTCTTGTTTTATACAATGTGCTTCAACTGTATATGTATAGCGAATTATACAGTTTCTATATTAGTTATGGAGCACAATTATTTAAACTTTGCTATAGCATACAAATATGAATTTTCAATTTGCTATTTGTGAAAGTTGCCCAATATTGAACCTCTTTTATATTTAGTAAAATCAAGTTGGATTTTTTCAAATAAGGAAAAATTACGTGAATAATAAACATATATTTGTTAATTACTTAACATAATTATAGTTTAGCTAATTTACAATTCACTATTATCATTTAATGTTATTACGTGGGATGCGGTTCAAGTTTATATAATTTGTCATGTTTGTATAAGTAGCTATGAACAATTCTTCGTTTGATTTATTTGTATATGATTGTTTATATTTGTATATGGTGGTGATTTCCTTTGATTTTTTTAGTTGTAACATTAGATATATTCAAAAAAAATTGTATAACTTTTTAAAATTTGTATAAACGTGTAGATTTCGAGATTGATATCAAAATTTTCATATTTTTTCCCTACCTTTATTCCTGTTTCCTTATGTCTAGCATTTAGACAAATTTTACTTAATTTGTAGGGATAACGCACAAGTACTCCCTCAACCTACGCCCGAAATCTCAGAGACACACTTATGCTATACTAAAGTCTTATTACCCCCTGAACTTATTTTATTAATAATTTTCTACACTTTTTCGGCCTACGTGGCACTATGTTGTGGGCCCAACGCTGGTTGACTTTTTTTTTCAAGCTAGTGTCACGTAGGCCGAAAGGGGTAGAAAATTACTTATAAAATAAGTTCAGGTGGGTAATAGGACCTTAGTATAGTATAAGTGTGTATATGTGATTTCGGACATAAATTGAGGGGATACTTGTATATTATCCCTAATTTGTATAACTTTTGTATAATGTAATTTGCATAATACAATTTGTATGCATATTTTAAAGTTTAAATGTTCGTATTTTTATTAATTTGTTATTTTAAGTTATATCATATTTGTATAATTTTAGAATTTGTATTATACTCCAAAAAAACATATCCAGTTTTAGATATATAGTTGTACCCATATTTGTAAATTGTATTTAGTTATTCTAGTCGTATATGTTCTATATTTTACTTGTACAATATATATAAGTACAAAAGTTTACCAATATAATTATACTTATTATTATATAAATACGGATGAAAATATTCATTTATATAAATACAATTATATAAACATAACCATAAATTATTCAAACGAATAAGTTATAATTATAACTTGTAAATATGCAAATTATAGCTAATAAACCTAATTAAATTTATTATTATGGATATTTGTGATTTCTCCTAAATTTTCCTTTCTTTCCTTTTTTCCCCCTTTGTATCTTAATAAATACTAATGTTATTGTTTTGTGAACTTCAATGGTAAAAAATAATAAAATTATTTGTTTATGTTTACACCATATAATAAATGTGTGTGACATACTATGTATTTGACTATGATTAGTTAATGCATGTTTATTACATTTGAGACAACCTTTTTATATATAATAGCTTTTCGATACGTGCTTCGTACATGTGTTTTATGTGAATTTTAATAAATTTATTAGAATAATTAAAATTATATAAAATTATATATATGATGAGTAAAAAATACAACAATTACAAATAAATCTTTAATAACATTAAAAATGAAAGGGACATTTAGATATTGCAAATTAATTCTTTAAAGCAGCAAATAGTAACTTTTGAATTTTGAATAATATTAGCTTTCGGTAAAGTCACAAAATGGCTAATTTGAGCTCAATGAAGAATATAAACTTACGACAATAAATTTGAAGTAACAATATCTCAAAATTTTAAATTAAATATTTTGAGGTTATTAATATGAAAATTAAGAATTATAAATATCATGAGTGTAACAATGGAACAGGTAATTAGATAGGCTTAAGTCATAGGCGACCCCTTAAAGTTGTCCGTATAATTCACTTAGACACCTCAACTAGGACATGTTTCAATTGAACACTTAAATTATTCAAAACATATACTCATTAAACACAAAATAATTATGTGACAAGATAAGTGTAATTCACTATCCTTGAGCGTGTGAATAGATCTCAATATTATTATTTTTTATTTTTTTAAGTTGATTTTGTAATTTCTTGAAACTTAGATATATTATTAAATAACAAAAATTAATAATTTAGTTCAACAAGGATCTCTTAATAAAAAAAAGGAAAACAAAACCCATTATCCTTTAACAATCATCTTCTTCAGAGCACCAGTCTTCTTTAATCTTTAGAAGATCTTTTACGCTCTGTTTTGGTTCCGCGTTGAATTCTCACTGGCTAAATTCCTAAGCCACCATCCTCCGCCTCACCCCTTCCCTATATACTTTCTTTCTAGCATTGCTCCGTCATTCTCGATATCATCAGCATTATCTTGGAGTTTTAAAAGAGAATTTCATCAAAAAAAATAATAATAAAATTGTGTTAAAAATAATTTTGGTGAAACACCTTTTTTTTCGGCAAGACTAATACGAATTTGAAGTTATTTTCTTAATATTGTTAAAAAATTAATAAACCCTAAAATTCTTACAACGTAGAGGAATTAAAGAAAAAATGGGAATCTGAATTGAGTTTGAAAAAAAGAGAGGTGAGATTTAGAGAAATAGCATAGAAATGCTGCTGAATTTTAGAATAAAGGAGATGGGGCAGGTGTATTAGTGAGGAAAAACGAAGAAGAAAGGTTCTTTTCCTATTTCTATTTTATTTATTTTTTGGCTAAAAAGTAGTTTTATTTTATTTATTTTTTCTAATTTAATTTTTTCATTGTTATTATGGGGTCAATGTCACATATATTTTTTTATTAGTTATTGTACCACATCATCCGCGAGTGTATGTCACTCACTCTCTATTTTTAATTGATTGTCAGAAAATGTTCAATAGAAATATATTTTAACTAATAAAGGTGTTCAATTGAAACAAACCTTAGATAAAGTGTCTAACTGAATTATGCGGACAACTTTAAGAGGCTAAGAATGACTTAAGGCCTAATTAGATATGAATGCAAATAACGATAAAAAAAAAATAAACAATAGAATATTATGTCATTTCATTTTGCAAATTTACACCCTTTTTAGTTATAATTTTTTTAAATTTATCATATAGATAATACTTCATGTGATAAGGCATCATTCCACATTGCACAGAATAAACATCAACAACATTACTATCATTTACATGGCAAAGATAATTCATGTTGTCGAGTAGCTTCACATTGAACCTGCATACACACACAACATATATTCTTACATATAAAACATATCTACATATACATATATAAATGTTTAATTGAATAATAATACTCAATTTTCCAAATTGCATCAACTCTGGAGATTTACATACTGATAAAGGCCCATATTCTACCGTTTTGAACTTGCAAAAGGAAATAAACAAAAATAGTTGTTGAAATAAAGCAATTAAATCACTATAACAACAATCTCACCAAGTAAATTATAAAGGGCAAATTTCACATATAGCAAATAAAAAATCATAATTGTATGCTATAGCAAAGTTTGTATATTTGCGCTTCATAGCAAACATATAAATGTATAATTCACTATACATATACAATTGTATGATTCACTGGCCTATTTCGCTGCAATTGTATAATTCGCTAGCCTATTTCGCTGCAATATCTGTATAAAATTTGCATTTGTATACAATTGAATCGAAGTAAAATGTTTGTATATTATATAATTATAAATGTATAGGAAGAAGATATATATTTTTGCATGTATATATACAATTTTCTCTCGCTTTATACAAAACAGAAACACGATTTATACACTTTTGTTGTATAAAGCGAGAGAAAATTGTATTTCACTGCAATTGTATAATTTGCTGGCTTATTTCGCTGCAATATCTGTATAAAATTTGCATTTGTATACAATTGAATCGAAGTAAAATGTTTATATATTGTATATTTATAAATGTATAGGAAGAAGATATATGTTTTTGCATGTACGTATACAATTTTCTCTCGCTTTATACAAAATAGAAACACAATTTATACATTTCTGTTGTATAAAGCGAGAGAAAATTGTATTTCAGTGCAATTGTATAACTCGCTGGCCTATTTCGCTGCAATATTTGTATAAAATTTGCAGTACAATTGAATCGAAGTAAAGTGTTTGTATATTGTATAATTAAGTGTATAGGAAGAAGATATATGTTTTTGCATGTGTATATACAATTTTCTCTCGCTTTATACAAAACAGAAACACAATTTATACACTTCTGTTCTATAAAGCGAGAGAGGCGAGCAGAGGGAGAGTAGCGAGTGAGAGTTTAGGGAGAGGAGGCGACTGACAAACGTTTTCTATGGGGCACAATTAAATCAAACAGTAGCTATTCCATTTATTTAGATTATTAGTTTGTTATTCTGTATAATTATCACAATTGTAAATCTACCAGAATTGTATACGGACCTTGCACTACCTCGTGGAGTAAAGAGGCTATTTTCAGATACTTAACTAATTGAAAACGTAGTAAAGTAAAATTCATTAAAATAATTCAAGACTATCCTAAATGTAGAGTTTTCAAAGATCTACAAGAAAAATTCATAGTTAACGGTAAAGATCATAAACACCATTCTCATTACATAAACACTATAAAGAAATGAAACTGATGAAAGATGTGTACAAGAAAAATTCAAAACATTCAAAAATGAAAGACAAAACAAATACAGAGAGATTGATGAGAAAAATTGTGCCATATGAAGGTGATCATTGACAAATTCAACATGGGTTTTAGCAGACATTACAATGGATTAAATCATCTTCATGAACTTGATCATTTGTATAAATAATCACTTCCATTGTATTAACTTTGTCAATCAAAAACCTGTTACAGAACAAATAACGAAATGGAGAAGAAAAATAAAAAATTATTCACTACTGAAATAAATGGAAAAACTAGTTGATAAACAATGTAACTTTTAAGAGAACTGAGAAAAGGTTCTTTTATACTGAAATCATGTTAACTTTCTTGCAGAAGATGCATATCAATCATGCATAAATGTGAAGCTACGTAGAGAAGAAGAAGAGAAGGAACAGAGAAGAACAGAGAAGAAGAAGAGGAATGGAGGAAGAATACGTTTATTCCATTGTATTCTCAAAAGTGTATTTGTAATATGTACATACAAGTATATATATACAAGAATGAAAAATTGAATTTATTCTAACTACTCTAACTACCACTCTAACTACTTTAACAACTTCATTGATATAGAGTCCTCTTAATTACAATTATTTACACAATGATCCTAACATAATGACTTTAAGTAATGCCTTCTTTTATACTCCCCCTCAAGTTTGTAGGTATGAATAGGTTTAATACCCCAAACTTGGATAGTAGATACTCATGTTGAGTTTTTCCCAAGCCTTTAGTTAACATGTCTGCTTCTTGTTCTTTGGTACTCAAGTATTGAGTTTGCACTAGTCCATTCTGAATCTTCTCTCTTATAAAATGACAATCCAACTCTATATGCTTTGTTCTTTCATGTAGCACAGGATTAGCAGCTATTTGAATAGCTGACTTGCTGTCACTGTATATAGTTATTGGAGTGTGTACTTCAGCTCCAAGCTCTTTGAATAGTTTCACTAACCACACAACTTCAGCCACTACACTTGCCATACTTCTGTACTCAGCTTCAGTTGAGCTTCTAGAAATGGTTGCTTGCTTCTTAGACTTTCATGATATTAGTGAGCCTCCCAACTTCACCATGAAGCCTGTAACTGACCTCCTTGTATGTAAGCAACTACGTCTGAGTCACAGTAAACTTGAAGTTCTTTGCTCTTTGTACTGGATAATAGAACACCCAGTCCAACTTGTCTTTTGATATATCTTACTACTTTGACAACAACATTTAGATGAGATTGCTTAGGCTGATGTAGAAATTGACTTAGAGTCTGTGTAGCAAATCAAATGTCTGGTCTAGTGACATTTAGATATAGTAATTTTCCAACTAACCTTCTGTACACTGTTGGCTCTGTCAACAATTTATCATCTTTGTTTGTTCCATTTAGTTCATCATATTCTCTAGTTGTTAACAGCACATAAGGATCCAGTGGAGTAGCAGCTGGTTTTGCAGCACTAAGACCTGCCTCAGATATGATCTCCAATGTATATTTCCTCTGATGCATTACAATTCCATCTTGTGATCTAGCAAACTCAATCCCAAGGAAAAACCTGAGGTTCCCTAGATCTTTCATTTTGAAATTTTCTTGTAAGGTGCTTCTAGTCTATTGAATAAGATTGATATCACTTCCAGTGATCATCAAATCATCTACATATACTAACAGTATAACCAGAGATGCACTAGTTTTCTTGATGAATAATGAGTAATCAAGATGACTTTGTACAAATTTCAATTTGACAAGAACTTTAGTGAGTTTTGCATTCCATTGCCTAGGTGCTTGTTTTAATCCATAAAAGGATTTAGTGAGCCTGCACACTGGTTTCTCCCCCTGCACACTAAAACCCTTTGGATGCTTAAAGCCAAAAGGAAGGACCATATAAACTTCATCAAGTAAATCACCCTGAAGAAATGCATTAGACACATCCATCTGATGAACATGCCAATGTTCTTTTGCAGCTAAGGATAGAACACTCCTAACAGTCACCATTTTCACAACTCGAGAAAAGGTTTCCTGGTAATCCAGGCCTTCTTTCTGATTAAATCCTTTTGCCACAAGACGTGCCTTAAACCTGTCAATCTCACCAGAGGCATGATACTTGATTTTAAAAATCCACTTGCAACCAATAGCTTTCTTGTGAGTAGGTAAAAGAACCACCTGCCATGTTTGATTTGACTCCAAAGCTGATATTTCAGCTTGCATTGCCTCAACCCATCTAGGATCCTTACAAGCTTCCTCAAAAGAGGTAGGTTCAACTTCAGTACCAAAGGAAGAAAGAAAGGCTCGATAAGAAGAAGACAAGTTGTCATAGCCAATGTACTTGTCAATAGAGTACAGAGGCTTATTGGGTTGAAGCTGAGCAGATGCAACATAATCTTGTAGCCATAAAGGAACTTTGGTACTTCTTTGTGATCTTCTTATAGAAGAAGTATCTTGAGCTGGAATTGTCTCAGTATGTGCATCTGTAGTATAAGGATTATGCTGGAACAAAGGTGTAACCTCTGAAGGTTCATCAACATTAGTAAACATTTGCCATGCAGTAGATGAAGGAGAAGCAAATGGAAATATAGCTTCTCTAAATAGTACATCTCTGCTAATGAAGAATGTTTTGTCCTTAATGTTGTATAACAGATATCCCTTTTGTATGAGCACTATAGCCCATGTGTACAGCAATGACACTCCTAGGATGAAATTTGTCCTTAATAAGCATACTTTTAGCAAAACATAGACAACCTATCACTCTCATATGCTGTAGAGAAGGTTTGCATTTGTGAAACATTTCATATGGAGATTTACCATGCAAAACAGATGTAGGCAACCTGTTTATAATATATGCCGCATTAAGAATGCAGTGCCCCCAAAATCTGATAGGAATATGACCTTGGAATCTGATGGCTCTAGCTACCTCAAGTATATGTCTGTGTTTTCTTTTAGCTATACCATTCTGTTGAGGAGTGTGAATGCAGGTTCTTTGATGAATAATACCCATGCTTGTATACAAATGTGTACACTCAGTGTTAATAAACTCAGAACCATTATCAGTACGAATGACTTTAACTAATAAGTTGAATTGAGTTTTGACTAGAGTAAAGAAATTTTTCAATACAACACAAACATCACTCTTCAACTTTATTGGAAACAACCACAACATTCTTGTACAATCATCCACTATAGTGACAAAGAATCTATTGCCATCATATGTAGGAGTATGAAATGGACCCCAAACATCTATATGTATCAATTGAAATGGACTAAAAGATATAGTAGAGCTATTTGAAAAAGGAAGTCTTGGTTGTTTAGCTAGAGGACATGTAGTACAGTTGTGAACTTCATTTGAACACTGTGTAACTGGAAGATTGAGAGTTCTAGCTAGAACATTAGATGAAGTATGACCAAGTCTTTGGTGCCATAGGACAGTTTGTGAACTTGATGAACCATCATGAACTAAATGAGAGTATGCTTGAGAGGTAGTACTATCTGTAGAAGATGAGGGATCTTAGAAGATGAGGGATGAGGAATGAGATAAAGTCCAGCCTGTTCTCTACCAATCACCTTCACCTTCCCACTGGAGAGATCCTGAATAGTCACAAAGTCAGGATAGAAATATACTGCACACTGTAGATCCTTAGTAACTTTTGAGACTGACAATAGACTGTACTTAAAGTCAGGAATAAGAAGAACATTATTGATAATTTCTTGTGAGGTCATATTACTAGAGCCTGTATGTGTGATCAATGTACTATCTCCATTTGGTAGTTGAACACTTCTAGGTGCATCAATAGGATGGATGTTTATTAATCAATAATTGTGAGTGAGGAGTCATATGATTTGTTGCACCAGAGTCTATAATCCATCCTGTATTTGCTATACTAGCTGAAAGAGCAGTGACATTACCTGATGAAGGATAGTTTTCTTGAGCTAGATTTGCACTGGAATGTGAAGTTGAATCTCTTTCAGTGGTGCTCTGCCTATTGGATTGACCAAGCATCTGCAAGATTTGATTATATTGTTCCTGCAGTGCATTCAATCCTTTGTGATAATCAACAGGATCAGATTGTTTATGACCTCTACCATAACCTTGATTTCTTGGATTCTCAACTCTATTAAAATCAGAATGGTCAGTGTCACTAATTGCATTGTTAGCAGATGGATAAGATCTCCTGTCATTACTTGATCTTCCTCTCCCTTGACAATTGTAAGTAGGACCAGTAGAACCTCTCTTCTTCCTTTCATAACCAGGTGGATATCCATGAAGTTTATAACACACAGCCTGCATGTGTCCTGTTCTTTTACAATAGTCACAAAATGCATTTGGATCATAGCTAGTATGAAACCTTGGTTTGGGAACTGATGATTGAGCAGTAAACAAGGCATTCAGATCAGATGAACTTGAACTGTGAGAAGTTTGTGACATGATACGTTGGCTTTCTCTTTCAACAAGTAGAAAGTATGCTTTATTTATAGTAGGCAAAGGTACCATCATTAGTATTTGGCTTCTAGCTTGCTCATATGAATTATTTAATCCCATGAGAAACTGCAGTAACTTCTGATTGTGCATGAACACTACATACTCTCTTGAATTCACACATTCACAACCAGGAACAGGTGCCAAACTATCATACTCTACCCACAACTCACGCAGCTTAGAAAAATAGCTTGAGATTGAACTTGTACCTTGGCTGATAGTAGCAATCTCTTTGTGTAGTTGAAAGATACCTGATACATCATTTTTGTCATATCTTTCACATAAATCCTTCCACACAGCAGCTGCATTGGTAGAATAAACAATGCCTCCAAGTAACTCCTTCGAAACACAATTCATAATCCACGAAAGCACTATGGCATTGCATCGTTCCCATAGACTTGTCAAGTTAGGACCATATAACTCCTTTCTGCATGATCCATCAATGAATCCAAGTTTATTGCGACCTATAATTGCAATTTTCATAGCTCGACTCCATACTGAAAAATTATCAGCTCCAGTTAGTTGAATTGAACTAAGTAATACACATGAGTTATCAATTCAATGTAAGAATAAAGGATGATTATGGCTCAGCTTCTCAGGCAACTCATTGTCGATAGTTGTCATGGTTTTGGCTGAGATCTTGAAGCTCTACTGTGTTGGCTCTGATACCATGTTAACTTTCTTGCAGCAGATGCATATCAATCATGCATAAATGTGAAGCTACGTAAAGAAGAAAAAGAGAAGGAACAGAGAAGAACAGAGAAGAAGAAGAAGAATGGAGGAAGAAAACGTTTATTCCATTGTATTCTCAAAAGTGTATTTGTAATCTGTACATACAAGTATATATATACAAGAATGAAAAACTGAATTTATTCTAACTACTCTAACTACCACTCTAACTACTTTAACAACTTCTTTGATATAGAGTCCTTTAATTACAATTATTTACACAATGATCCTAACATAATGACTTTAAGTAATGCCTTCTTTAATAAATCAGTTCTAGAATATTGAGAATTAAAACAAATTGGAATGACATAAATATAATTAAGTTTTTTTTCTTCTTTTGTTCTTTCTTTTGTTCATTTCACCTGTGACAAATAGAGTTGCTAATTATATGACTCTTGTAAAGTTTTTTTTTATTAATATTCATTTTTTATTAAAATATCAATTTTAGTGTACGTACGCCTCGCAGGTGTAGTCCACAATTATGGTAAAACTTATATTTAAACGTAACAATTACTTGATGTAAAGAGTAAACATAAGTATAGTAATTATGTAATTATAATAATTTGTAAAATTATAAAAATTGTAGTTCACTAGCAAAATAAAAAATTATAAAAATACCAATTTTAGCATATGTGTGTTTCGCACGTGAAGTCTAATATTAATGATCAAAATAAATTATAACAAACGTATGTTACACACAAAAAAAGTAAAAAAGAGAGTAAAGTAGTACAAAGAAAACTTAGAAAAGGTTCTTTTATATTGAAAAATCAGTTCTTGACTTGACACTTGAAAAGTAATATTTTTATCGTTAAAACATATTGGAAGGACATAAATATAATTAATGATTCTTTTCTTCTTTTATTCACTAAGATAGAGTTGCAATTTAATTATGCAACTCTTGTAAAGATTTCACTAATATAAGAATAATAATGTTCGTGCTCCTCGCACATGTGGTCCACGATTATGGTCAAACTTATATTTTGAATATAATAGTTGCTCAATATAATAAACATTGTACCTTATACAAGAGAGTGAGAAAAAAAAGAGTAGAGTAGAAAAAAGAGGATTGGGAGGGAGGTTCTTGAATCTTGAAAAATTAAAATAGATTAAATGGACATAAATATAGTTAATGTGTTTTTTCTTTTTTTATCCACTTTTCACTTATGACATATAAAGTTTCAATTTAATTGACTCTTGTGATAATTTCACTAACAACTTTTTATATTAAAATACTCATTTTAGCGTACGTGCAATTTACGATAATAATTAAACTTATATCTGAATATAATAATTGCTCGATAAAAATAATAAACGTAAGTGTAGTAATTACGTAATTATGCATCTCACACATGTAGTCTACGGTCACGATCAAACTTATATTTAAATAGTCATTATAAACGATAAAGAATGTCCTTTATACAAAAGAACAAAACAGAGTGTACAAGAAAGTGAATTACTATAACAGTTTCCTAAAAGCTCCATTCTTATAACACTAGCATTGTGGCTTTGAAAAAAATCATCCACAAGCTAAAGTTGAGTGTCATTTACTGTCAAGCAAAATCTAAGTAGTTGATTATACTCAAATGCTTGACAGATGAATTGTATCAAGAAATTAAAAACAAACTAAGAAGCATATGCAGAACATGTAAAAAGTTCAGTCTCAAACAGAATATCACAAAACAGAAATTGAAAATAGAATATCACACAACTATGAATTCTAGTATTTTGTATAAGCAGAATATCAATGTCTTCATTCAGTTCATTGGAGCGTCTCCATCTTGATCAGTAGCATCTTGATCAGTAGCATCTTGATCAGTAGCGTCTTCATCAGTAGCATCTTGATCAGTAGCGTCTTGATGAGTAGCGTCTTCATCAGTAGCGTCTTCATCAGTAGCATCTTGATCAGTAGCGTCTTCATCAGTAGCATCTTGATCAGTAGCGTCTTGATGAGTAGCATCTTCATCAGTAGCGTCTTCATCTTGATCAGTTGTGTCTCCATCTTGATTCATTGTGCCTTTATCTTGATTCGTTGTGCCTTCATCTTGATCAGTAGCGTCTCCATCTTGATCATGTTTATTCTTCCTGAGAAAGTTGAGCAGTATGTCCTCCGTCTCGAGCAGTTGTATCTCCATCGTGATCAGTTGCAGCCTCATCTTCGTAAGTTCTGCCTTCATCGTGATCAATTCTAACTCCATCCTGAACAGTTTCTTTTCTATATCTCGTTTAGTACCATCTCCTGCATCTTGATCAGCATTAGCGCCTAAATCTTGTTCATTAGGATCCTCTTCATTACCATCTCCATCTTCATAAGCATTTTGCTCATTAACGCCCAAATCTTGATCAACATTTTGCTCATTAACGCCCAAATCTTGATCATTAGCATCTCCATATTGATCAACATTTTGCTCATTAGTGCCCAAATCTTGATCACTAGGAACCTGTTCATTAGCATTTCCATCTTGTTCATTAAGATGAAGCAATGTTACATCATTCCAGCAAATAAGCTCCTCCCTGCCACAAAATACTCATTCGAATGAAACACCTTACAATTCATGTCACATATATGTAATTAGAAACTTACAATCTCATATCATTAGCATCTCCATCTTGATCATCATTTACCCCTAATTCTTGATCAACATTTTGCTCATTAGTGCCTTCATTCGACAAACTAACTTCTCCCCTGCCACAAAAATACTCACTTGTATCAACCCTTATACTGCATATGTGTTATTACAGTCTCAATTTGTAATTACAAACTTACCATTTCATACACAAGATTCGAGCAAGTGCCATCTGAAGAAATCATTAATAACAAAATCGTTATGTTCATGAAAACAAAATGATCTATATAAGCTAAGAATTAATCACAATTCATGAAACAGATATGAACAGAAGAATCTAAAATATTGAAATCAGTAGCATTAGTAGATGCAGAGTGAGAATCCATACAAGAAGAGGAGGGATTTCGTCGTCGGAGAATGCAACTCGAGTTGTGCATTCATGGCAATGGATGAATTGAGTAGGAGCCATTCTTCCACAAAAAAAATTGAGTTGAAGACAAATATTGATACAGAATGGGAATGACAAGAGAATGTTGATATTTATTTATATTTATAGAAAGGCCACTTCTTGATTCTTGAATTTACCGTTGCTTCAAAAAAAGGAGGGAAAATCTGAAATTGCTTCACATTGAACAAATTTTCCACTTAGGAAGAAAAATATTATTCTCCTTTTCAAGAAAATGATTTGATTTGACTTGACACTGAGTTTAAGAAAATAAAAAAGTCATTTGAATCTTGTCGTCCTAAATTAAAGTTATTGAAATGTACAAAACAGTTCTTTAATATTATGGCCTTAAATATGCAACGTGAAAAGTTGAAATTAAAATGTTACCAAAACAAGAAAAAAGTTATTCTTTTTTAAACGGAGGGAGTATTATTTTTTCGCCCCTTAAGATGATTTTATAGTTTTATTCTCCAAGACTTCTTTTGCATTCATATATATAAAAAGAATATTAAATTTCCACGGAGATATAAAATTTACTGAAATTATAATTATCCGATGTGATTAAGTAAATTATAGTTAAGGAGAATCATTATATTTTAACTCTTAGTTATTTATGAATTTTTTTGCTCTAAATATAATGTATGAGTTTTCCTAATTAAATAATTATCTTTTCCGAAGAAAAGAAATCATAAATAGGGATTATAAACTAAAATATTTATTAGGAAATGATAAATCGAAAATTTATAATTAATTTGTTTCTTGATAAATTAAATAAATAAAATGCCACATGAGATGGAATGGAGGGAGTGGGACATTTCTCTTTTCTAAACCTACTATTTATTTTATTCTTTTCTTTAGTGCAATTTATTTTTACTATTTTCATTTTTTCTCTAATAACATTATTTGTTAAGGTAAAAAATGATTTTTTTATAAGGAAAGAGAAAATGAAAAGTTAAGGTAGAATTTTCATCCGTATATATCTAAAGGGTAGTTATTTAAGTGGGTGTTTTCTTTCAATTTCTCAGGTATTAGTTAAGTTATTTTTTTTAAGATTTTGAATTTAAGATCTGAGGTGAAATTATTTGATAGTAAATTTTACTCTAAAGGGGGACTTTTTGATGTTGAATTAATGGGTCCCAAAATAAATATAGAATCTTAAGTGGAAAAAATGACTTTTTTTTGTCTTCAAACCATTTTCCAATTAGGCTTGTGCACAGTTGGATTTCTTTTCCTGGCTTTCATGTTATACGTCAATATAGTAATTTGTTACTTTCTAAGAATGATCATATTTTATTTTTAATTTTATTTAAAAAAGAATGTCCTTTTTATTTGGCAATACTTTAACTTTAATTTTTCATGTGACATGTTTAAGACCACAAAATTAAAGAATATTTTGGTAAATTTAACATAACTTTAATTTAAAACTATAAGATTAAAAAGTCTTATTTATTTTCTTAAACTCTATTTCAAGTCAAACTAGATCATTCCTTTTAAAAGGAGAGAGTATATATCACGTTGAGATAGGATTAGTGGTGAATAGGAATACACATTGCTTAAGGTAGTATTATTCTTTGTTATCACAAATCGTTTTGATAAAGTATATAACTTATAAGAATAATATTTAATATGATATATTAATAATAAAAATATTAATTAATATTAATTATGATTATATTAATTATATTGAAATTATTTCTTATATATTATTTAATTAAGGCATTTTCTTTAAAATGTAGTTTATATAAGTATTATCCACAATATATGGTGACAAGGATGTTTAATCATGATGCATGTATTAAAATCCTCTTGCATTGTTAATATCATAATTTCTCATGTATTAGTTATACATAACATAATATTTAAACAGGATGTATAAATAGTGTTTGTAATAATTGTACATAAATTTTAATTTTAATTGTTATTTGTTTATTAATTTAGTTGTTTTATCTCTTTTATTATATTACTTTGCTTGTTTTTCTCTTAATATTCAATTGTTTTAAATTTTAACATGAATTCGGAAAGAAATAGTGGTAAAAGACCAATGTCCGAATTAAAAAATAAAAAGGAAGGAGTAAGTAGTTCTTGTTCTAAAAATTTGCCACCTAGATATTTAGTTAATACTAATGATTATACTTGTGTTAATGAAACTTTTTTTACGTCACCAAGACCTATTGAATTTAATTCTGAAAATGAAGTAGATCATGAGTCTTTAAATAGACATTATACTAATTTTGAAGAAGAATTAAAAAAAGAAGTAGAAATAAATGAGGAAGATGAAGAGACCCCTACCCCGACTAGTCCGGTTACCGAAGTCCCCTCTTTACCTACTTTTTCAAATGTCGCCGTCGTACGTGTTAAAAGATCGTTAATATGGAAATTTTTGATACAAAATGAGGAGAAAACTACTGTTACGTGCACTAAATGTAAATTGGTAATGAAACATGTAACTACGGGTACGCAAGGGGGAACGGGACGACTAAGAACACATTTACGAAAGTGTAATAAAGAATTTGCTCGCCTAGATGATATAGAAAGAGCTAATAGAAATGGAACACCCATACCCGAAAGTTCTATGGGTGTTGGAGGTTCTAATGTGGTTCAAGGTGTATTAAATATGTCTAACCCGGCTAGTCGAAGCACACACCGCACGTATAGTAAAGAAAAAGATCGTAGAGAATTATGTACTCTTATTCTCTTTCTAATATTTGTATTGTATAATTTATTTATTTGAATAAATATACGGCTATTCGCCTTGATTTTTTCTTTTATAATAGTCTCTTCTATTTAATTCATGTCATTTTATAAATTTAATTTTTAATTATTTTAATAAAAGTTTATATTAAAACTTTAAATTCAATATAAACTTTAAAGTTTAAATTTAATTTCAAACTTTAAATTCAATATAAAGTTTAAAAAACTTTAAATTCAATATAAAACTTGAAATTCAATTTGAAACTTTAAATTCAATATAAACTTTAAAGTATAAATTTAATTTCAAACTTATATAAACTTTAAAGTTTTCAATTGAAGTTTTAATATAAATATATAATATTATATAATAATTAAAATAATTAAAATTTAAAAAAAACGGAAAAACCGGTAAGACCCGGTTCCAAAGCGGTCCAACCCGGTTCCAAACCGGTTACTAACGGACAGGGCGGAACATGGAGACTTTTCCGGTAAAATCGTTTCGGTAAAATCCGGTACCGGTAAGGAAATCCGGTAAGAAAAAATCGGTACCGATTCGATTACCGATAAAACCGGTCCTGTTGACCCGGTCCTGTCCGTTTGCCAGCCTAAGACAGAACTAAAACTTAAAAAAAAAAAGTTTGACCGAAATTCAAAATAGTGACAGGAGGCTAATAAATTGCAAGGTTACTAGCCAATGCGCCATAGTTTCTCTTTGTTACTAAGGGCTTCAAAATTTATATATATTAGAAATACAAAAATTTATCTTATATATATAGGGAAGTTTTTTATCGAGGAGGTTCAGGTGAACCCCTGAATCTCACATGGGTCCGCCCCTAAAATAAAGTAGGAAAACTTTAACATATAATCACTTAAAAATAATTAATTACTTTTCATAGCTATAATTTGATAATTACAATTTCTAGCTACATGTTATATGGAAGAGAGAGGCGAGAGAGGAGGGGGGGGGGGGGGGAAGAGTGGGAGAAAGGTGAATTGTATATGTATATTGGTTAGATAATTGTATATTATACATATGTATTTGTATATATGGCCAGAGTGGGAGTGGGAGAAGAGAGGCGAGCGAGACTGCGAGAGGGAGCAGAGAGGCAAGCGAGACTGGGAGAGGGAGGAGAGAGACGAGAGAGAGAGGACAGAGAGTGGGAGAGAGGTGAATTGTATATGTATATAACTGTTTATTATACATATACATTTCTATATAGGGAAGCAAGATTGGGAGAGGGAGGAGAGAGGCGAGCGAGATTGGAAGAGGGGGGAGAGAGACGAGCGAAAGAGGGCAAAGAGTGGGAGAGAGGTGAATTGTATATGTATATAGGTTAAATAATCGTATATTATACATATGTATTTGTATATTCTGGCGAATTATACATATACAAGCATAACTAATTATACAAGTTCAAAGTCAGCCCACGTAATTAATGTGTAGTGTTAGTTGCTAGTGGTAATCATAGCAAACTATAGCTATGATGAGTAATTAAATAGTATAAGTTTGTTTTGTTGCGTAATTTTCCTAATAAAGTATCATAATATACGAAGCTAATACATATACAATTATTTTTTGAAAAAATCACATAAATATGCTACATCAAAAAAATATTTACCATCTATGTCAATATGATTTTTCTAACTAAATATAACAATTTTTTGGAATTAAACAATTTGTACAGGCGCTTGCCTCTTTCTTTGCATTTTTTCTACTTCTCTTCTTCTTGTTCTTCTCTTTCTCTTTCTCTGTATCTTTCTCCTTTTTTTTCTTCTCTTCTTTAAAATTTCATTCAAATAAATATTCTCAAGTCATTTTTTGTCTATATTTTTCATTTTATCTAAAAACACGACAAGAAAAGTAACAGAAAAATTGAAAATTCACACAAAATTATGTTTTCAAGCAAAATTTTCAATCTATAAAATTATGGTTATTATAAAGCTTTAAATTTTAAATTTATTATTTGAATTTTCCAAATTTGTGATTAGTTTTGATAGATTATTCTCACAATTTTTTTTTTTGGGAAATAGCTTGCATCATCTATATTATCAAGACATGTGTATCACACTTTCTATGTAGCTGAGATATCTATGTGAGAAGCAATCTAAAAGCCTCAACAATGTGAGACCAAAAATGGCATATTGCAAGTGTAAGACTAACAATGGATTTTTGTACAGATAGCCTAGGGATCGGATATCTATCTCACTAATACAGAAGTGATCACCTTTATTCATGTCAATAGCAGCTCCTTCCAGCGTCATTCTGCCTTCCATCAATATCATTAGTCATGTTGACCGGTGGTCATTCTGCCTTTCCTCAGAATTATCATTTAAGCCTTTCTTTTTTACTTAGAGTTTGAGCTGAAATAAGT